CAACTGGATGTGTGATATATGATTTCCTACATTCTTTGTGTGCTATTATATACAGGTATGCAAGGTTACGATCGAGAGTAAACTTGATCGGCAAAAATCAATTAAATGATGGTAATATGACTTTTTTATATTCTCTACTGATCGATTATATTTTGCATTCTTCTTTCTATGAAACAAGAATTTCTTGTTTTACCCACCAACTAGGCTCTAGCCAAATCGATATCTATATGTTTGTTGTTTCATTTTTAAGGCTTTCCAAAAAAAAACTTGCTCAACCTATTTGGTTTATAGTTTTCTTTTGAAGTGGATTTGATTTATTTTCCAACTGTTATATTTACATAACATCAACTTGATGTATTGTTTACTTTAATGAACCACAAAAGGATCTTATGGTGTCTTGGTTCTTTTCTTGCTTGAGTTGTGTTGTTGGTCATTTTGGTTCATACACGTGGGGTAAACGTGTGTAGTATTGTGTTTGGTGGTTTAGCATTCTGCTTTTCAGAGTTTGTAACATGTCATTCAAATTCCACTGGATTCTATCTTATTTACAAGAAGCTTAATGAAAAATCTTGGGTGCCTATAGTTTGGCATTCCTGCCCATATGAAAGTTCTTTTTTTTTTTTTTTGTCTAAATGTCTAACATAATTAACTGTCAAATTAGTGTTTTAGTGATTCCTGGCTTGTTTTGATACAAAAAATCAAAAGCAATGGAGGTTTAGTTTGCCATTATCAAATGGTTGACATTATGAGTGGATAGTTCAAATGTTAAATGTATGTGTATTATTGGTTGGTACTTTGTGAGGTTAACTTAGGGGTCGTTTACTAAGCGCTCAGCTAAGCACTTACCAATGTCAGTTATCTTAACCGGTAAACGTTTGGTATATGTCCCGTTGATTCTCATAATTTGAATATGGCGTCTTTTAATCAGTGAAAGCTATCATGGAATCAATGGATTAGTAGCCAAAACCTCTTCCCTTGGCTTATAGGTGTATTTTGAACTATAAAATTTCAAGTTCATTCAATATAGAACCTATGAATTGACATCTTTTAGTGTTGAATTGCAGGTTGTGGCTAATACTATCTACACTACCTTGGGTTTGCGGTCCCAAGAATGACTATTTCCGCTCTCAGATTTGGTTTCATACATCTATATTCAGAGACCCATCATCACCATCAAGTTTCTCTCTCTCTCTCTCTCTCTCTCTCTCTCTCTCTTTCACCAAATGTTTCATCTCTGCAAAACCCTCTATTCTCTTATGAGAAAATGTATGAACGATGTAAGCTATTGGGGTATAATTGCTGGTATGTTTGTTCTTGCACGCTTTTCTTTTGTGATATGTTTATGTTCTTGCACACTTTTCTTTTGCGATATGTTTATGTTCTTAAATGCTTAGCCAGTGATTGTTGTCCATCGTTGAATCTGAGTGAATACGCTTTGTCCCAGTTTTAATATTGAAATCAAACTCGACTCCTCTTGGATTTTAGAGTTACTACTTTTATTGAGTTTTTTTTCCTAAGCACTTCTTTGGGATGTATTTTATATTCCGGAGGGTATACTCTTCGTAATTTTGTAATTTTCTTTATATTTCAATAATGTTTTTCCAAGGGGCCCTTTTCCAGAAAAAATGTGAACTATGTGGCGCAAAATTTGTAGTCCAGTTCTAGAAATGCATATGTTTCTCATCGACAATTTGATTTCACTCTCTATGAGTTAAATTGTTATTTCTCTTCATTACATTTAATTGGATGTGTGTTTAAATTGCAATAGATAGGACTAATTTCTCCAGTTTCTATTTCTACATAGTTCTTAATTTGAAGCTAACCCTGTTTTACAATTATATATAGACATGATCATGTGTTTTTCCAGGGGCCCCGCCCTGTACCCGTTATATATAAACCCTAAACCCTATATATATTATTACAACTAAAGCGGTAATTCATATAGCACGTGTGTCGCCCAGGGCATAAGGGGGGAACAACAGCTGGAAACGGCTGCTAATACCCCGTAGGCCGTTTCATGCTTGTTTGAGTAATAGCAATGAGATTTCATTAGCCAACCAACTCGTTGTAGCTAGTTTTATAATCTAAAATTGTTATTTTTTTGGATGTTAATATGTAATATTTTAGATATCAAGTCAAAATACAATTACTCGATAAGTTTTGTATATTATTTGATATGATTTTATATTACTCAATATATTTTGGTAAATGTGATTTTAAGTTTTTTTTTTGGATCAAATTTAATTTTTTTGGTTTTAGGTTATTAGTTCTTATATGATGTTGTGGTTTTTTTTGTATTAAAATAAATTTATTTTGGTTTTAGGTTTAGGTTTATTGAAAATGTTTGAGATTTAAACATGTATGGTCTCTCACATATTTAATTTAAAATAACTTACATAAACGAAAAAAAAATCCCCGTTTCTCTGTTGGGGATAGGGATGTGATTATATTCCCCGGTAGGGATGGGGATGAGGATAGCGATAAGTAATCGGGGACGGGGATGTGGATTGAGGTCCCCGCCCCATTCCCATGCCTAACTGTGATGTCATCTGTTATTGTAAAGTTATTATTGTTTCTTAGGGATTTTGAGTTGGTGCATATAATATTTGGAACAATGACATACTTTGCAACAAAATTTTACCCCTACAGACATATACGTAAACCATATAACTGTGGATTAACTTTTTCGGTTTGTAATTGCAACGATGTTGAACTTTAATAATTAACTTCTCCAATCATATTAACATCAAAATATACATAAGCCGATTTGCGTTTTGACACCTCATAAAACCATTTAACTAGAAGCGTAAGGGGACCAACGGTGGACAATAGAATGAATCATAAAGTAGTTACAAATGTTTAATTTTTTGGCCTCACAATTGAAATGCGTTTGGTCGCCCGCCGCATTGCTTGGGTATTAATGAAACCTATTAAAAAATTCAATCATAAAAGAGTCTACACATCAAATGTGGTGTATCAAGAAGTTCTGAATGATAATTGTGTATGATTAAAGCATGAATGCAATTTCTATTTTGTTTAAACATAAATTTTAGACTTTTTGAATGACAAATTGAATTAATTTTTCATTTTTGGATTTATGATACATCATGTGAATCACCGAGTATTTCAAAGATATTTTGCAAAAAAAAAATGATATTTAAAAGTTAAACATATCCTGATAGAACATTTACATCCCGCTGCATTGCGCGGGTAGACAACTAGTATATATGTATATGTATATATATATATATATATATATATATTAGTTGTCTACCCGCGCAATGCAACGGGATGTAAAAAGCTTATTAAAATTATTAAATTTTGAGATATCAAATTCCTTAAAGATGTAAGAAAGCTTACTACATTGATATCTAATTTAGATTCAAATATACATCCATCCAAAATATTGGTGTTAGTAGGTTCTACAATTATTCATAAACCCTTAATCACAACCCGAATAACTGGAGTGGTGGAGCAAGATACAAACATTTGCCAAGAACTGGAGTGGTGGAGCAAGATACAAACATTTGCCAAGAACTGGAGCGGTGGAGCAAGATACTCGACCCAAATCACAACCCATCTCGAATATATTGAATCAAAGAAACCCTTAAAAGCAAATGGGTTTGTTAATTTATACAAATACTGTAAATGTAGATCCGAAGCTCTGAAATGCCAACTTTTAAAATAAACAGCTAGCTCAAACCCTAGTAGTAAAATACAAAGTCAAAGGAAGACTTTTATACAATATAAAAATGTGTGGAAGTTGTAAGGGTGTCGAACGACCGGAAGAGAGACGGCGAGGAACGACAGAGGCAATGAAAAATGTATTTGGGGCAATGGAGGTGATTGGGAAAAATCAATCGTGAATTATGAAAATATGAGGTTTACATTTAAAATGGTAAAAGAGTTTTTGATGGTAAGAAGAAGATCTTGGGAACATAAAGGGTCAAAATTTGAAAGGGGGTAAATGGTGTAAATTTTCAATGTCTATTGGGAACCAAAAGTAAATATGGGAAAGATAAAACATAAAAGTATGAGTTGCAAAAGGTAAAACATTGTTGAGTCGTACCATATACATAAATGACTTGTAATTAAGACTTTTAAGACTTTATGCATAAAGAAGCAGTACCTTATGCATTTAAGATTGGTTTTAAGGTTTTTATTAAATCTGCTTTATAAGGTAGTATATATATATATATAGTTTGTTTCATTTATGGAAATGATGAAAGTTTATTTATTATGATTTGAATATTTATAGAAGATGAATATAATTAATTAATTATGATTAATACTTTATATTAGAAAACAATCAAAACTTCTATGAAATCACATATTAATCAAATGAAATGGACGGTTGAGATTGATTTGTATTGGTTGTACAAATGTCATGAGTTGTATAATAACCAACATATATATATATATATATATATATATATAACATAATCTAAAAAAAAAATAGAAAATACATAAATTCAAGCCATCTTGATTTAAAAATAAATTTATAAAACAATTAAAACATAAATTTAAAAAAAAGAAAATTAGAACAAATTACTTGAAATTAAATTTTAAATTTTTTTATAGAATAATTAACATTATTTTTTTTTATTACAGAAAACAATGTTGACCTATTAAGGAGAAATGTACTTTATTTATAGAGAGGGGTGCAAATATCTCCACCATTTAATTACTGCTTAATAGCTCTAAACAACGGACCTTTAAATTTTAATTAGAGTCAACATAGCTCTATAATTTCATAGTTGTATACACAATTAAATTTTAATTAATTGCATTGATAACAAGAAGTCAATAATAACGATGGTTGTATTGTATTTCCCAATTTAGACCCCTAATTCTTTGCTTCATCGCCAATTGTCAGCAATCTACACCAGTGGCATGACCAGAAATTAAGTGATGAAACGAGGGCATATTCGTAATTAGACATATTCCTAAACCGAAGCTTGGTGGTAGAGAGAGAGTCTGCGTGTTACTAAAAAGAGGGCGAACGAAGCAGAGCCGTTATCTATCGTCAGAAAATCAATCTTCTCTCGAATCCTTGCATCCATCGCTTTCTCTCCGTTCTCCATCTCCAATCTTCTAGATATTTTCTTCCAATCTCCATTTTCTTTCAACAATTCTCAACCATGGTGTACGATTCCATCGCTAACGCTTCCATCCCCACTGCCGCATCCAACTCCAAGGACTTTGGGAAGAAAAAGAGGGTATGTCTTTCTTTATCTTATCTTTTTTAGATTGATTCATGCTTTACGGAGGAAACGTGTTTGTTTAATCTTCTTGGAAGAATAGTCTCTTCTCCTTTTCAATTTTGACCTAAATTTGCCTATTTCGTTTTGGTTTGAAGGTGAATAGGACTGCAAAATTGAAGCAGTGCAAGCTTGATGTTCGTCGAGAACAGTGGCTTTCTCAAGGTGATTTTTCCATGTACATGTCAGATTTGGTTTTGTTCTATACCATCTGCATGGTTGAACACTCAATTTTGTGTGTTTAATGTATGTGTTTAGTTGAAGCTAGGGTTTTATGTGTTTCTCATCGATCAGTTGGTTGATCTGCAGTGAAGAACAGGGGATTCAAGGAAGAAACACATGGTACTGGTGGTATGAAAGCTCCTGCTCCCGAGACGCATGCAGCAAACGAGAGAGAGCCTCCGGTGGTGAATTTGGAAGTTAATCTTGGTGGAGAAGAGACCGAAGGTTTGATGAATCATGACAGTGATTCTGAATCCCCCTCCAACAGTCCTACCAGTCATTCGAGTAGCGTCTCGGGGAGTAACAGGTCAGTTACTAATTTTACTGGTAGTAGTAGCCGGAGCAGCAGTGGTAGTAGCAGTAGCAGTGGAGGTTGTTGTTCAGGAAGCATGACAGATGAAGATGATGATGAATGTTTGGATGACTGGGAGGCTGTAGCTGATGCTTTGGCCGCCGACGACATTCAGAAGAATCATAATGACCCTAATCTGGTGTCCCCTGTGGATGAACAGTTGGATTTCCATACCATACCGGAGCCAGAGCCTGTGTTGACAACTCCGGCTGGTCAAGAGGATTGCCGGCCACCAACTAGTTTCCGGGCCTGGAGACCAGATGATGCTTCCCGCCCTCAGAATCTGCCAAATTTGCTAAAACAAAACAGTTTCCCCATGAAATCAGGGAAGCACTATGGTCTCCATAGTGGTGGATTTGCTCCTTCATCGTGTCCTATCTGCTGTGAAGATCTGGACATGACGGATTCAAGTTTTCTTCCTTGTCCATGTGGGTATAGGCTCTGCCTTTTCTGCCATAAAAGGATTCTTGAAGATAATGGCCGTTGTCCAGGCTGCAGGAAGCTGTATGCCCAGCCTGACAATGGGAATGCATCTTCTAAGATGGCTCGTTCTTGCAGCATGAACCCCAGGCATTAGAAATCTCTGGATCATTTGGTGGGCCTCCTTTTTCATTCACTGTCTTGCTTGTTCAGTTACTCTTAGACACCGGCACTAGTGCTAGGTTTGTCAATATAGACAGTATCTCTTTAGTGTTATGCCGGTTCTCTTTATGAGTTTGATCTATATTCTATAGCAATATGCTTTTATAGAGGACTAGTTGGTATGTGAATACATAAGGTGGTGGTATAGAAATTGAATACATATTTTCGATTGCAATTCTATAAATCTTTTTGAATTGATTCGTCATTAGGTTATAGTAAGTGAGGCCTAAAACTTCAAATCTCTTCTCATAATACTATATATAAATGAATCTATATTGGACCTCATATGGAATTCTGAATCTTAAATTATATTTGTAAATTGTTAGATTGTATTGTTTCATTGTTGTATATGATTATAAAATGCCTAAGTTTAATGTTCGAGTATTTGATACTTCAGCAGTATTTTCTTATGTAGCAATGATTGAAGATCGCTATTAGCCGAAACTTTTATTCTAGCCTTCAAGCTACGCTTGTGTGTGTGTGTTCTAGGTACACCGTACATAGGTTCTCTAATTGCTGATTAAGAGCAGCAACGGCTGCCTGCATTGGAAGGTCATATGCATTTGCATCAATGCATGTAGAGCAGGAGGGCATATTGGTCTAGTTCCACATAACCTAAGTTCAATGTTAATCTCTAGAAATGCAAGGAATCTATACAATCATGTATTTATGTCATGTCATAGAGTGGGGGTGTTTGTTTCTTTGGATTCTGTCGGAATTGGAATGGCATGTTCCATTGACTCAATTCCATCGTCTATGGTTTGCAAAATATGTGTGTGTGAGAGAGGGAGAGAGACCTGGGATTGTACGAGAATAAGAGTTATGGTCCGAACGTGATAACAAAGCCTTCATCTACCTTCATTGACCTATTACCATGATTGAAACTTTTCCTTCATCACTTCATGTGAAACTGATTGAAGGTATATAAAAGTTCGTGAAGTGAGTGAAACGGAAGATAAACGTAAAGATTAAGGTTGATGAAGGTCTGTGGTTTTGGTCAGCAATTAATTGAAGGTCTATAATTTTTTTAGCCGTTGGATAAAAAATCAACTCATCATACGATCTAGAAGTATTTTCACTATTCTCATCAATTACTCTTATTCTCACCCGAATCCTACCCATACATGTATTATGGGGGTTTGGAATCTTTCTATTCCTTACATATTTGTGCTCTGAGCTATTTGAAGTTTCTAAAAGGGTAGTCACTAGAAACAAAGAAAAAAACACGCATACCATGTTAGCATTGTGTGTTGAACTTTGCTACCACTAGGTTCAGACTTGACTAAATATCTATCAGGCAAAAGACCACTCATCTATTTGCAATTATATTTAAGACAGATGGATAAATGGCTCGTATAGTTCAGTACTATCATCATTCTATTTAGGCTCTTCCTTTCAGCAATCAGAAAGGAGTAATCAGACACGGTGACCTTTCTTCTTCAAGTGAAACTGAAGATATGCTACCAAATGATAAACACAGCAGAGAATTCTAGTATTGAAGACTTAATCCGGTAAGTTGCACTTCACCTCAGAAGGTATCTTGAATTCTGTAAAATATTGGTTTATGCTTTATGGCATAATCAAATGCATTGTTTCTTATTATTCATGGATTTTAAATCCAAGATGTGTATCATAGCTAGATATGTGGTATGCTTTCAGATGACATTGGGGAATTGAAATTAGGTATAATTAGATAAAAAGAAGCATAAACAGGGATTGAACTTCTAATACCTTTCAGGTTGAATGCTATAAGTATGTTTCTGATCAGATCTCAAAAACAATTGGTTAGATGTTTGATATATGAATGATGAAGATGATTATTTCCTCAAATACGTTTTAGTGCACCCTCTTCTCCTTACTTCAGTGTGGATTTAAGCTCTGCTTATAGATTTATATGGCAAGTCCTTGACAGATGTCAATTTGCCTGCCTAATGAACATACTAACATGTTACATCTTCGTTATCATACCCTCCTTTGCATTCAGCTCTAATCGCATGTTCACAAACTACATGATAGTAGAATCATTGGTGGGTTTAACAGCATGGTGAATACACTGCCACCAACTCTTCAACTTCTATGTTATTTGCATGTTTTTTCCATATTCATTTGAGAGGTTTTAGATCAATTGGAACCCATTTGAATGGAAAAGCCCTTCAACAAACACTTTGAAGACCGAGCACTAGGCTCTTGGTTATTGTGTGGCTAGGCTAATCAACAATTTCGTGACTTATTCCAAATATTCAGAGATTTTTATATGAAAAAGACGAATAAGCCATGGTTAAAACAATGTGGTCCTATGTGTTGACAATTACAATCTGAATACTTGCAATACTGAGTCATCTGGTACGCTAAAGGAGGGACCCCAGAAATCCACACATCAGAGGTGGTTGATCTTACCTAATGCTCCAAGTACAGAGGGTGGTCAGTGGGTCAAGGTTTTCATAAGGTAAACATCACCCAAGTACCAATTTTCTTTGTTACATTTTCATGCGGGATGAACTTGAGTCGCGTAAAATGAGCACCTACTAGCTGCGAGCTTCATCAGTGAATGCAATGATTGAATGAGTTAGCCCCGTTTGATGCATGCTGTATATTTAATAACCACACCAAACGAGCCCAATATATCTCATTCTGGTAGGGTCCAGAGGTAGAATATATTTGGACTTGTGAATACTGAAGACTCTGGGGTTGCAAGACAAAGGTTAATGCATGGACTTGGTCCTCTGATGATTGAATCCACCCACTAGTTTCATCGCTCAAGATGTCATGAAGATCTTCTGAAATCAGCAATTTATGGTCATTTTTGCTGGCTTTTGAAATCAGCATTCGCTGGCCACATTTGGATTTGAAGTCCATGACTTTTTGACAAGAATGCCTTGAAATCTGTCATGAATTTAAAAGGATATAATAATCTATGTGAATAAATTAGAAATAATGAAGTAATTTTACATTAATTTTGGTAACAATCAAAAACATAAATTTGCTTCAGATGTTCTAGAAGATGATATTGGAATGTGATGTCAATTTGTTTTTGTAGGTCACAGTTTTGGTCACAATCAATCACGTCTAATTTCATTATTATTAGTAGATGTGTTGGGAGACAGTGTAACGTCCAATCGAGGTATGATTGTACGTCTCTCAGACATCGCCATTTGTGTTCCATTGTTACTGGACGAATTTTTAATCAGCTTTCGCCATTGCTATAGCATTATTAAATGGAATCACTAGAATCGAGGGATTGAAGCTTAATGCGTTCACGCAGCAGCTGATTCCACACCAAAAACAGTGAGTTAATACCTGCTCGATTTCATTTAATTTTTAACTTCTGTTCTCCGATTATCCATAGCTGTTGAGTAATTTGCTTTGAATCACCACTCATCGCCTAAGTATTGGATTATGGTTCTACAGTACAATCGCTTCATAATACTACAACCTCCCCAATAATTTTGTGATTCGTATCCGACGTAAATAGATCTACTCTATGTTGAATTTGGGGCGATACAAGTCTACAATGCTTGATTTATTGATTTTATTAAACCTAGTTGAAGATAGTTTCAGGAGAAGTATAACATCCCCTTGTGGTACCGGGTCATGAAGTTTGTTAGGGACACAAATGGGGAAGATATGGATCTTCCTTTGAAAAACTTTAAACCATTAGCCATTAAGATCGATGTGTTCATAGACTGTAAACTACTTCATGATCATTATAATTGTAGCCTGTAGGCTAGAGTTGGCTGTTGAGTGCATTCAGCAGCAGTCATAGATTGTAAAATAAGGGATTATTTGATTGCATGAATACACTGAATAACCAATACAACATTCTGTTTTGCTGCCTGTGCAAAAAATGGATTGTTACAAACGAAACCGAACCAAACTAACTCAGTAAATCCCACGTGTAGATGTAAAGTAGGGGTGTAAATGTACACAGTCCTTATCAGAAGTCATCCTCTGAATCACTAGAATTTTCAGGCTGGAAGTGCAATTGCAAGTTTTGGAACCTTGGTGGTGTCCTTATGGATGGTGATGAAGGTTCGACGCTCTTCACATTCTTTTTTTGAACCTTCCTTGTGAGATCTAGACAAACTTGGTCCACCATGTCGAGAAAATCCTTCACAAAACCAAAGATTTGAAGTGGATGTTCCCCTTTCTCCATGGAATTAGATCCAATTTGGTAGAAACCTCTCGTTTTTTTTACAAGTTCCATAACCCTTGTTTGTTCGTTCCTCACAACCTTAAGTTCCTCTTCACATCCTTCCAGAAATTCCTTCATTTCTTTCACAAACCCACCTCCTCCAGATTGTGTCACCATTTCTCGAATCTCAGTCACTTGTTTCAACAGATTCGGACTCATGCTCATCAAACAATCATAATGTACTATCGCAGCTTTCTTCACGTTGCAGAAGTCCGTACTCAAGCCTCCAAGAACAGGTAAACCAAGCATTAGATATTGTCTATCCCTCTCGTGTTTTGCTACCATGATATCAGAATCTTGATTATCTCTCCTAGGATTCCTGTTGTTCATGCAGCGGCGCTTACCCTCAGCTCGGACTACTTGTTCCACCACAAAATAAAGGAGACTAGTCTTCCCATCTATGCTCTTAACATAGGAAAGTTTCCGAAGAGCGCTAAGGTTAAACCCTTTGGCATCACCTCTAACAGTTCCAGCATTCATTCGATTTCCTGCCCTCAGAATAGCCTCTAGAAGTTTCAAGAAAATCCCAGGAGCTCGCAACTCTTTGCATCCTAATTCGAGCGTTTGCAACGATTCGTTGAGATGCAAGATTTCTGGGTCGTAATTTAATCGAAAGAGCATCGCGTTGATCCGGGTGAATGCTGTTGGTATTGCTTTCAGGATATGATAGAGGAAAGATTCAGCATCTGGGAGTTTGGTTGGGTTTCCGGTGAATTGGAGGATCTTTGAAGCCTCTTCTTCAGTAGGTGATATTTTTGTCAGTTTTTCAAGAACATCAGCATTCAATCCTCTGCCTTCCGAGAGAGCATCAAGAATCTCCTTGTGAGAGGTTGCAAGAGATTTGAGTACAATCGCGGTGTTCTGTGATTTTCGAGGATCAAGAATTGAAATTTGAGCAGATGGAGTTGAATTTGAGCTACTACCAAATTTAGGGGATAAGTGTTTTGCTTCGTTAGAATTTCTCTTGGAGGCATTGTATCCAAACAAGGCTTCTATAAGCTCATCATCAAACCTAAATGCATAATACATCGATAGCAAGAGTTAGAAACGATCCGAAGGAAAAAGTTAGACCTTTTTCAAGTTTTGCTTACCTCAAAGAGCCGTCAATGATTTCATTCCATACCACCGAATGATCTGCCTCAGTGTTGACCTTATCCCAGTGGAAAGGCTTCATCTTTCTGGGGACTTCATGATTACGAATTGAACCTTCTTCAATCTGATCATCTGCCCTTACTTTTGGTGCAGTAGGTGGTTTCATAGATGATCTAAAGCTTCCTGAATGAAACGGTGGAGGGTTCCTTTTTGCAAATACCTGTGGTGGTGGTGGTGGTGCTTTGTTAACCATCTTTCTAGGGAATGCTGATGGAGGTGGAGGTGGTGGTGGTGGTGGAACTGGCAGCGAGGCCTTCTTCAATGGAGGTGGTGGTGGTGGCGGCGGAGGTGGTGGTGGTGGAAGTGGTGGTGATGGCTTCTGTAACAAAAGTGACGGTGGTGGCGTTGGTGGTGGTGATGGCTTCTGTAACAACAGTGACGGTGGTGGCGGTGAGGTTTCTGGAATGGTTTTTGTCTGTTGGGAAGAAAAACCGATAGTGTCTGGTTTCAATGTTCTATGATCATCAAATCTGCTATCAACCCTTTTCTCTTCTTCTTCCAAGGAATTCCAGACACAAGTTCGCAACCGTCCACCTTCAACATCCCTGAAATAGAGAACTTCTAAACCATTCTCTTCGATCAATACTCCTTTCAGAGCCCCACCTCGTTCTCGACCATCCATGATTGTATCTTCTCGTCCAACTTTCAGACTAAGATGATCAATCCGTGTCTTTTTTGCCATAACATAGCGGTAGAAAAAATAGAAACAAATCCCATAAAGTATTACCGTCGTTGCAGCTGTCAAAGCTACAGCCTCGACCGTTGAGTTACCCATTTTGGGTTTTTCGGCATACAACTCGAGGTCGAAAACTAGATTTCTGAACCTTCTAATAATTCCATTTTTGTTCCGAATGAAATGGCCAAGATTGAATCGGCAGTCTTGTAGCTGTATTTCTTGTAAGTTAGGAGGATTTATTTATTGGGTCATAGACTTGCATCTTGTGATTAAAAAAATGAAGGAATGCCTCAATTGCGACATTTGCCGATCCCATTGTATGTGTTTATCGATTATTCCTTGTTCTGAGTCTGGCCTGCAGTCTTTGGCAATCACCACAGGTCACGTCACACCATCACCATCATCATGGGTGGTGTCGTTTAGTAGAAACAATGATTTTGTGTGCAATTGTGTGAATGGGATTGGGTCGATATTATCAACCAAGTGTTGTGAATTGACTTGGTACCCGGTAACCTACGATTAAACACCCAACATATACCCTGAGTTTGGTTTGCAGGAATATGATGGAATTGAAATATTGAATTTCATTCATTCGTTTGGTTCATTCTTTTTTACGAAAGAAATTTTTAAAATCCTACAAATTCCATGAATAAAGGAATTTAACATTCATTAGCAACTACATGGTATTTTGATGGAATGAAATCTCTGTTTTTATTATACCAAATATGTCTTTAACCTAATATACTCTAATCTTATAAACCTCAATATGACCATCGTCGACCACTATTGATCTGAACCACCGCCACCGATCTGAACCACCATCGACCACCACCACCGATTTGAACCACCGCCGACCACTACCGATATGAACCACCGCTGATATGAACCATCGCCGACCACTACCGATCTAAACCACCGTTGATCTGAACCACCGCCGACCACTACCGATCTAAACCACCGCTGATCTAAACCACCGCCGACCACTACCATCTAAGCCACCATCGAATACCGCCAATCTGAGTCACCACTGATCTGATTCACCGTCAATCTGAACCACCGCCGATAACCGCCATCTGAACCACCATGGAACACCATCGATCTAAACCACTGTCGACCATCGCCATCTGAACCACCACGGACCACCATCGATCTGAACCACCGCCAACTACTACCAATCTGAAGCACCGCCGATCTGAACCACATCTGATCATCATCACCTGAACCACAACGGACCACTAGCGATCTATATCACTGTCAACCACCGACGACTACCATCGATTTGAATAACTACCGTCACCACCGACTATCTGAACCACCGCTAACCACTTCAATTTGAACCACTGCGGACCACCATCGATCTGAACCACCGCCGACCACCGTCGATTTAGTAACGTCATTTGTCTTATGATTATACTTGGGTTGTGTATTTTATATTGGTTTACATATTAAATAATTATTTTATTAAAGTATTTGAGTTTTTTTTAAATAAAATTTTCAAAAAGGGCATTTTGGTCATTTACCAATATTTTATTCCAATCTAAAGCTACATTATGTGAACCAAACAGACAGATTCCGATTCCTTAACAGATTCCATGCCAACCAAATAAACATAACATTTCATTCCAATTTCTTCAAAGTCAAATTCCTTTAACAGATTCAATTCCATCCAAAAACATTATGCGAACCAAACTTCACCTTAGAATTGGATGGATTAATGATCTTTAATAATTAGTATTTACTTTTTATAAAAAAGATATTTTAGCACTTATCCATCATTTTCTTCCAATTCTAGTGCTACATTTTTCTATCTTTTTAAAAAACTTCGATTTGTACTTCCTGTCTTATTCAAGTTCCTAAGTTTTTTTTTTTGACGGTGTATTCTAGTCATACATCCTCGTATAAGAGGTATGTAGGTAAGAGGAGATGAAAAATATGTGATACGATAATTAAGAAATAACAAACCTTCTTCTTACAAATAAAATTAGTCTCTACTTGGTGGGTACAATTACACACTCATGCCTAAAGATGTATAGATGTTGGTATTCTTTTCACATTTTGTAATTGATAGACATAAAAATTATAATTTTAACAAGAAATTGTAATTAATTTATAACATTAGAGAATGGGAATTGATAGGTTGCATGTAACAAAAAAAAGTAACCACCACAAAATAACAATTGGTATGAACTTAGTGGGTAGTGGGTAGAGTTGTATTTACTATTTACTTTTTTACTATTTACTATTTACTATTTAGCCCACCACGAATACTTTGTTTGCTTTGCATGTTTTTATGTCCAACCGGAAAACATGTGGACTCCTCTACATCTCTATTGTTATTTGTTTCTCTCTAAAGTCTTCTATATGAAATTCAATAGATTCTTTTAAAATAAATGCATAAATTAGTTTAAGAAATACTTTTAATAACGAAACATGGTTAAAATAAATCTGTTTCATCACAATAATCTCATCAAAAAGTTAAATGTCTGAAACAAAAAGTTTGTATTTTTAATTTAATTTATAATAAATGTTTACTTGGACGAAGAAAATAAATATTCGTTATTTTAAATTCATATAACTTTTAAGAAAAGAAGAAAATCAACAAAAGACAAGTTATTTTTACCGTGAGAAGTGTTATGTAATCTAAAATAAATTCTTCAATAATACTTTAAAATGAAGGCTGAGTTAAAACCGTTTACAACCAAAGACTAAAAAAAGGTTAAATGTGTAACTTAAAGGCTAATTCGTTTCATACCGGGTTGCATTACAAAATTTATTTATCATAGATGTTTGAACATAAATATCAAACTTAAATGGACTAGGCAAGTCTCTATGGGTGTCGTTTTCCTTTCTCAAACCTAAAACCTCCTATCTGTGAGATGTGTACAATAGTCAACTTATAAAGCTCAGTGAGTTCATGGTTTGTGTAAATATAATCATTAATCATTTCACATCGTACATATCAACTTGTAAACTCTCTACCAAATAGTATGCATTTTCTGAGAACATGCAACACTGAAAGAAAAAAGACCTCATTAACTGTCTGGTTATGTACCCAGGTAAGCGTTTACCAAGTAACATTACCTTACTGGATGAATATGACAAAGACCAAGAATCTTACCCGGTAAGAGTCAGGCAAGGACCAAAAGTCTTATCCGGTAAGTGAGGCCGAACACTTTTTACCGTGGTAAGCGCTTATCAAGTAAATTGTTGCATACGTTGTCGTTTTGATGGACTAAAATCTTACATGATAAGTAAATAATATTATTAAATTTTACCGGTTAACACTTACCAAATAAATGTTTGATAAACGGCCCTTAAATGCATCTCTAGCCTTACCCTTAAATATTTCACTTGACCAATTGCTTATTGAAACTTTATATTATGCTTTTAATGATAAGATATAAATAAAGTTTATTAGCTCCACATTCTTTTTGCCACTTGTATAGTTGTACTAGATATTATAGGAGAAAAAGAGTATCCTAGGTTTCTAACTTTTTGTCTTTTTTCTTACAAACATTTATCAGTATTTATCGACAAGAGTCATTACCTTCACTTATCTTATTGAGTAACGTTTTCAATCATTAAAATGGATTGCATGTAAGTGTCTCTTACCAGAGTAAAACTCTTCTACCTCACTTACGAGCAATGGTAGACTTGGGATTTTTGTCGAATGGATGCACCTTAAGGTGGATCGAAGTCCGTAAAAATCACTCCGTTTGTCTTTAGCCGAATTCCAGTGTCTTAAGGAAGTTTTAAGTTTTTTGGTTGATTTTGAGAGGCTTTTTTATCGTTGTTCCTTGTATTTTCTAATATTTTGGAGCACCCCTCAAAGTTTAGTGATGCATCTTTTATACCCAGAAAATGTTCTATTTGTTATAATAAGTTGAATGGGTGCAAGGGACCCCATTCGAGGTTTTTCATAGGTCTGCTCCCGCTTACCAGGTAAGATTCTCGGTTATTGCTATGTTTTTTACCTGTTAAGACATTTGTAGTTGTCATGCTCAGCCCATAAAGTGAGTGACACCCAATATATCTTTTTTTTTATTAACATGGATATCCAACCCGCTATATGAGCCGACTAATTCTAGGACGACCACTTGTTTTGCACATAGTTTGGAGTCACCGCGTTTGAACCTCTGTGGCCACAAATAGACTTTTATTCCTCCTTGGATTTGAATCTGAGACCTCCCGGTATTTTTGGCCTTTGAAGTCAAGCTCAAACCAATCAGTCACCACCCCAATATATCTCCTACCCTCCCTCCCTAATATATAACCCTAAGTTCCTCTTCACATCCTTCTACAATTTTTTTCATTTCCTTCACAAACCCATCTCCTCCATTAGATTTTGTCACCATTTCCCGAATCTTACTCACTTGGTCCTACAGATTTCGAATCAAACCATAATAATTGATTATCGGAGCTTTCTTCATGCTCGATAATTGTTTGGTTCATGTTTCATGATCGTAAGTTAGTTGACTTTTTGAAAAACTATTTCAAATAGTTTTTCAACAAGTTTTTGGGGTCTTTTTCATATTTTCTTTATCCAATAATGCTCTTTATACGTTAGAATCTCGTATTTCTCAACGTGTTTTTTAGATAATTTTACATTGTCATTTAGTTTTTTTACCAAAACACGAGTAGTTTATTAGGTAACAACCAACTTATCAATCATAGCATTAGCTTCAAAATGAAGAAAGCGAGGAAAAAAGTTTAGACTCCTTCATATTTGAACCGTTAGAAAACTGGGAACAAGGTATTGATCTCGATGAAAAATAACTTGGATTGAAAAATGGATCATGAACGAAATTATTATAAATGGATCTCACGAAATTTACTAGGAGTAATCCATATACGCAACTGGATTTAAAGGCAAAATTCAATAGCAAAAACACACAGATGGATGTTCGTTATGCTTTTCATATGTTAAAATAATAACGAAAACCTATAAATAAGTAATTACTTTTAAATCAAATTAGGTAGTTAAGTAGTTATTTGAAGATAATATGAACATTTATCACATAACTACCAACAGATAAGATCAACGGCTATCACCACAATGAAGTTCAGAAGACTTGCCTTCCAAATTGAAGTCTGAAATAAGATTCAAAAAACAATATATATATATATATATATATATATATATATATATATTTTAATAAAACTTTAAAAGATTATATGTT